TTACCCCTCTGTCATTATCCCCCCTGTGTTCCTGTCTGCTCCCACAATTACCCCTCTGTCACCATCCCTGTGTTCCTGTCTGCTCCCACAATTACCCCTCTGTCACCATCCCTGTGTTCCTGTCACTGGATAAAATTCATTCAATCTGCTGATGGTCCTGATTCAAACTGTTTGGCCTGAACTCATGCTGTTGGTGAGCTGTGTGCCATTTGTGGGTCTCAGGCAGTACCTCACTCGATCGCCTGTGTTTCGTGTGGATCCTCCTGGGGATCACCACCTGGTAATTGTGAACATCAACGAGTTTGGAAGCTGCTGAACACACTGCGAACACACAACAGAGCATTGATCAGACCCTGTGGGGACCCAAAAACACACAAATTGAAGTCTCAATGGGAAGATGGTTGGGTCAAGCGTACAGTGATTGTGATGAGGTCAGGCAGTGGGAGCCCTGAGGATCTGAGTTCCCTGGTTGGGACTGTTAATCCGGTCCAATCAGGGAGCCCAGGCTGACATAAAAGGGTGAATGTTGGGGATATTGAGATGCTGAATACCGGGCTTAGGGGAGAGGCGGTGCTATTGTCCAAGGCAGTGTATTTGTAAATAAAGGGTGACTGCAGATGGGATGCCGCTCTCTGAGGAGTTATTTCAGGATGTGCCTGCGGCACATGTGTGAAATGTAATGTTGGTGGAATGAAGAGAAGGTTTGAACGTGGCCCGTGCAGCTTTGGAGAAGAGTAGGTACAAAGACTCCTGCCCCAGCCAAACAATCACAGCATGACACAGCACGGCACAGCACAGCATGACACAGCACAGCACAGCACAGCACGGCACGGCACGGCACGGCACGGCACAGCACAGCACGGCACAGCATGACACAGCACAGCACAGCACGTCACAGCACAGCACAGCACGGCACGGCACGGCACAGCACAGCACAGCACGGCACGGCACGGCACGGCACAGAACAGCACAGCATGACACAGCACGGCACGGCACAGCATGGCACGGCACGGCACAGCATGACACAGCACAGCACGGCACAGCACAGCACGACACGGCACGGCACAGCACAGCACGGCATGGCATGGCACGGCACGGTACAGCACGGCACAACACAGCATGGCACAGCACGACACAGCACAGCACGACACAACACAGCACCGCACGACACGGCACAGCACGACACAATACGGCACGGCACAACAGAGCACGACACAGGACAGCACGGCACAGCTCGGCACAGCACGGCACTGCACGGCACAGCACAGCATGACACGGCACAGCATGACACAGCACGCACGGCATGGCACAGCACAGCATGGCACAGCACGGCATGGCATGGCACGGCATGGCAAGGCACAGCACTGTCCGGCACAGCAGGGCAGAGGAGCAAAGATAATGGTGGGAGTCACCATGCTGGTCCCCATCAATGGACCCAACCCCTCTCCCAAAGCGAATGCCCGAGTCCCTTCAAATGACAGAAGGACCTCACAAACAGGAGAGACAGAAGGAGATAAGTCCATTCGGCCCTTCGAGCCTGCTCTCCATCACTCAATAGCCAATACTGCTAATTGGCAACTCCACATTCCTGCCTGCTCCCCAGGTACTGTCTCATCCCCCAGGCACCGACAATGTATCTATCCATCCTGGCCTTTAGTATCTGCAACACTGGAGACTGCAGAACACTGAAGGCGTGTTCTACCCATCGCAGATCCAAATGTGGTGGGTGTGTGTGTTGGAGGGGGCTTGCTGCTGTGAGAGTGTACTCCCACCTTCCCCAGGCAGGGAGCAAACTGCCCCTGACTGCCTCACCATGCCACCCCTAAGCCCAGGCTGTTTCAGTGTGATTCCCTCTCTTTCTCTGAAACTCCAGGGGGATGGCCCAATTCACACAGCCTCTTGTCAGAGGACAACCCTTTCTCCCCAGGAGCCAGACAATTGAACAATGCTGGAAAGGGCACATCAAGTTCATCATCGATTTCTTCAAACAATCTTAACAGTCACAATATTCAAGCGTTTATCAGTCTGGTGCCATGTTACACCATGCACTCAAGGTACACCCTGTATATGTGGATCACCTTAGACTCCCATTTACTGATGACTAACAAAGTGAGGCGCAATCCCCCACTCTCTATCCCCCATTCCCTTAAGTTCTACACTCTCTGTCCCCTATTCCACTCAATCCCTCACTCTCTATCCCCTATTCCCCTCAATCCCTCAGTCTCTGTCCCCTATTCCCCTCAATCCCTCACTCTCTGTCCCCTATTCCACTCAATCCCTCACTCTCTGTCCCTATTCCCCTCAATCCCTCACTCTCTGTCCCCCATTCCCCTCAATCCCTCACTCTCCGTCCCTCATTCCCCTCAATCCCTCACTCTCTGTCCCCTATTCCCCTCAATCCCTCACTCTCTGTCCCTATTCCCCTCAATCCCTCACTCTCTGTCCCCTATTCCCCTCAATCCCACACTCTCTGTCCCTATTCCCCTCAATCCCTCACTCTCTGTCCCCCATTCCCCTCAATCCCTCACTCTC